GATTGAACGCATGCCCCCTCCTCGACCGCCGTAGTCCTCCAATCATTAACGCCAAATACATATTTTCAAGAACCAGACCAGTAATGATTGACAATGTCATCGAAGGTTAACTACGTGCCTTGATCAACTAAACATGCAAATAGTTATATCGGCCAAGCTTACCAAAGGCAGAGATCTTTGGATTGAGCCTGGTCAAGTTTTCTTCTTTTTTTGGGAATATTTTTAAAGGCACATAGCATCCTTTCTTTCTCGGGCCTTCCTTTGGTCACTGATGAAGCTGAGTTTTCACTATTTGTTGAATGTACTATTTTTCTGCTTGAAAAATGCCAGATTAATGAGATATTATAATATTTACTCTGCCTTTGTGGTGTCTATTTTGGTAGGTCATGCGATTGCTAAAGAGCACAATCAAGAAAGCTGAAAAAAGTTGTCAAAATGCTCAAACGTGTAGTGGACGTAATACTTCTTATTACTTTCTTCTTGTTTATTTTATGTTACCCCTTTTGAATATTATTATCAATATTTGAACTTGATTGATGTTAGTATTCACGCGTAAGTGATGCATTGATGTAGTTCCGATTGGGCAAAAAAATTTGAGCTTGTCAATGGATTGGCTTTTGGTTTTAAACTTATTAAATTATTATTTTTTCCATAATGCTTGTCGTGTTTTGGTGCTGTAAACTTTTTGGTCTGGATATATGAAAATTACAAAAACTTGAAAAACTGTATCTTCACATCTATTGTTCCCCGGGAAATAATGTATCTATTGCAATTGAATGTGGCCTCCGTGGAGATAATTTTTATTCAGCTGTTTTCTAAAGAATGCTATTAATAGTTTCAGGTGAATTTGCACAAAGCTTATGCTTTCTGCTTTGAATTCATATACATTAGCTAACTTCTCTGAGCAAATGAAGGAAACTTGACAGGAATATAAGCATTAGCTTAACGGGGATAGGGAATGCAACATTTTGTTTGAGATTCAAAGCAATATTTACAGTAAATGAATATTGCACTATATATTACAATACCATTTTCTTATTTTATCCTAAAGCTATTTAGTTAGTCGGTGGTCAATCATTACTTCTCTGGTTAATGCTTGAGATTTTTGGAGCATTAGATCACTAATAGATTGTTGAAATAGATGTTTTACGAGTTGGAGAAAACCAATGAATATTGTACCATATTGTATATTCCTGGTGCAAATACGAGGTTTGTTCCGTGGGTTTTATGGGGCAGCTGATGTTTATGGAGAGACTAATACTGCTTTCGTTTTGAAATTATTGTGCAGTTTAAATTTTTAATTTTAATACAAACTGCATAATAATTTTGGAATAAATGGATTAATTTGTAACAACGAATGTTAACAATTGTAGTTTCCTAACTATTAAAGAGTCCTAATCCCACATCGGTGTTAGGAGACTATGAGTATCTATATATAAGCTTCATGGGCTACTCCTCTCATAGTCAATTGGTTTTGAGGTGGAACCCTATGGGCTTCTGTATGGTATCAGAGCCAGCCCACCGACATTCGGACTCCAAAAAGTCCAACAAAAAAATAGGATTGAGACGTGAGGCAGTGTCTGGGCTGAAAAAAATAGGACAAGCCCAACCTAAAAAATACGTTGGGCTTGTGGGGGAGTATTAAAGAGTCCCAATCCCACATCGGTGTTGGGAGACTCTAAGTATCAATATATAAGTTTCATGGGCTACTTCTCTTATAGCCAATTGGTTTTGAGGTGGAACCCCATGGACTTTTGTACTAACATTTCTCTTTCACTATTTTGTCGGCAAATGATAACACTTTGAATTTGTTAACCTCTTCTTTACTTTTGAAATGGAAATCGTTCATCTTCTAAATTTCATAACATTTTGTATTTTTATTTTTCAAAAGTTTGAGAAAATTGAGGGTTTTTTTTTAAAATTACTCTCAACGGGAAAAAGGGACAAAAACAATATCATAGGCAGTTTTGGGTTTCTTATTCGGGAACACTGAAATTGGTGCAACAGGCTGTACAATATGTTCGATGGACAATTAGAGAAAATGCATATGTTTAAAAAGGATGTCACGAATGTGCTTTTGCTTATAAACTAATGAAAGGCATCCTATCTTGATTGCGCTTGACAATAAACATTGATTGTCTCAGATGTAGTACTAAGAGGGTTATTGAGAATTTAGAGATATATAAACTGACATACAAAGAGTATTATATGCCTGTATCACAACAGTAGTGTACAAATTATGGCATGAAACAAATGAAAGAAAATGTGGTAAAAAGAATGTCATTAGAAGAAAATTTTAAAAGATGAATTTGGACAACTATATATTACATTTTTCTAAGGTGAAATTCAGACATGGGCGTCAAATTACTAATATGCAATACAAAAGGAGAATTTGGATGAAAAACATTGTCTACAGAGACGCACTCCAGATGATATAAATGTTCATTAATTTTCTCAATTTTGATTCATTTCACCGTTGTGTCCTTAACATTATATACTATATTCCTTTTTCTATTGCGTCAACACTGAACACTTCACAATGACAAAATATTGTTACTCGATATTTAAATAAAAACAATCGGTCAATCCGTGCAACGCACCGGCATAAACTAGTTTACATTATAAGAATGATCTATAATTTGTTTATGATGTGAGAATTGATATTATGATTACAACAAAATAATTGATCATTTGATACTACTACATCTGTCCAGAAACTATTATCCAGTTTAGAATTCATTTTTAGTTCAAATTCTATATATTAAGAGAATAAGCTTTTCGGACATGTGTCACATAATGAGATGTCCAATCAAACAATCATAAAAATCAAGCCTAATTAGATATAGTAAAAAAAATTGGTAACTATTTAATTTAACTTATTTACTCATATATATTTCATTAATCAAGGTAAATAAAAAACATAATATTAGTTAACATTGAACATGGTCCGGACGTATGGCACATCAACCGTGATTTTGAAACGTTTCTAAACGCTTTTAGAATTTTCAAAAAAGCACAATAAATATCATTTCCAAATATGACTTCCAAATTTATGGCACATTATGATATGATTTTAAAATTCGAAAATAATGAGATTTAAATTGATCACCCTAATTCCTTCCCCCATCCAAAAATTAATAAATAAAATTTATTTTAAAAATTATGGGTAAATTAACCAAAATAATATTCCGTCCATATTCACAAACTCCCCAAATATATTAATTAATTGCTCCAAATTCTATCAGTAAAGCCTTAAGTTTTAACCTATCCACAAAATCATATAATTACTCATATAAAATATTTACTAAAAAATCCCATAACATGTTAAACCCTACGACCATAGTTATCTTATGTACTATAAATAACCCAAATTAGAGGTCGTGACAGCAGTCTGGTGCATAAGCAAAGTCAATTTCCGTCCCGTTTGAAAGGTGAATTAGCCACTTCAGGTAGTTCATCCTTTTTTTTTTTCTACAATAACTTTGTGTTGCATATTGATGAGATGACTGTATTGCTAAGCGATGTATAAACGAGACCATACATCATAATAAAGATGTCGTGCCCTTTTATATGTTCTAACATATTACATATGTGTTACCACATTTAATCATAATAAAGAAAAAATGTCTGGCCATTACAGATTTCCGTATTTACTTACTGTTTGGAATCTTTTTTTTTTTTCTAAAATTTTAAAGATATATGTGCCGTGTTTTTATTATTCACTTTTTATCAAGTTTTTTTCCTGCACTAATTATGTCGAAATATTTCCACAATCCGGGCAACGCACGGGCCCACAAGTAGTTAAACTAAAAGTATAAATACAAATTGGATAATAATTTCGGGACATTAAGACTATCTTTTATATGTTGCAAAAACTTGACCACATCAAACCTGCTTCCAACCTGTGTAGACTTTAGAAAGAAGAAGAATATCCAGATATATCTCTAACCATTAATTTATGAGTTAATTGCGAAATTCCGCCCTAAAGTTACCAACTATAGCACTTAATTGGCAACTCCTTCTTCTTTTCCCCACTTTTTTTTCCCCTGATGTACAATTCGCAGCAACCCCCGATGTTCATAAATAAAAATAACGGAAAAGGAAATAATATATCTGTCCTCTCGAGATATTTTTGATTATCTAGAATGTTAGTTTGTATAGCCTCCTGATTTTCTGCTGCAGAATACACATATACACATGACATCATAACTAATTAAACAAAATTATTATTACAAATTTGCATAGCCGTGTAAATTTCGAGTTTTATGTTATTTTTTGCGCCTTTTACTTTTTGAACATGTCGACAAGATCATAATCATCTTCAGAGAAGAGTCAAAGTATCTAGTGATTTATAAAAAAAAAAAAAGAAGGAACAATAATAACATAATTGAGGTGATTAAAGGACACAATTGATTTTTCGGAAATATTTTGCTGAATTGGAAAAAAATTGAGGGGGCTTAAGTGTTAATCAAATTAATTCTTCAATCAACCAACGCAAGGAAGATAATTTCCCAAAAAAAAAAAAAAAAAATACCAGTTGGAGGGTTGGATTCAAAAAGTTAGTTGATTAGACTTAACTGTCATGGAAAGAGAGACCGAGCGGTTGACCACTTTTCCCGCCAACACATTCTCCACCTGCATTTCAGAACCCTGAATGTTATATATGTCTCCCGCTTTCTTGTGTTTTCTCTTCAATTCCTGTCCGAACAAAATGGTATTGTAACCAAAATAGAAAACGGGTTTTTTTCTTATTAATTTGTAACAAATTGCATCTCTCCTGTTCCATTCGGTCCTCCTCCTTTTCTCTGAAAGGCCAATGCGAATCACTGGCGAACCCAAAAAGCTCCAGTGATTCGCCATCAAGCATCATCATCCTAATTCAGGAGAGATTGTCATTTGTTCATCATCATAAATTAATTTGATTGCTTCCCCCTCCCCCCACAAAATATATCACCTATACCCATATAGATTTGTATATTGAACCAAAAAAATAAAAAAATATGGCGGCATTTGTCACCAACTGTGTATCAGTTATTTTTATGGTTTCTTTTGTTTTCACCATCATCCCTTGTTTGGTAGCAAACACCACCATTACCATCGACAAAGATGCACATATTGCCGACTTCGATGAGTTCCTACAGAAGCGCGCTGAGAAAGCCCTCCAATCTTCCCTCAGCGCTTATAATCCTCACCCCGAAGAGGTCACCGATAACTTTAACAAACAAGTTGGAGAGTGAGTCTCTTTTTTTTGTTCATCATGGTTGTGTCATAATGTTCACAATTCCTCATGTTTTTCTATGGTTTATTTGTCCTCCAGCTTGTTGTTGGGTGGCAATGTCACGAGGAGGAACCTGAAAAAGTCCGATTGTATGGCGACAAATCCCATTGACAGATGCTGGAGGTGTGATCCTAACTGGGCTAAAGACAGGAAGAAGTTAGCTCGTTGTGCTCGCGGGTTTGGCAGGTACACTACTGGTGGAATGGCCGGGAACTACTACGTTGTCACGGATCCCTCAGACGACGACATTCAGAATCCTAGACCCGGGACCCTGCGCCATGCAGCCATCCAGGAAGAGCCGTTGTGGATCATCTTCGAGCGTAACATGGTTATTAGGCTGAGCGAAGAGCTTTTGATCACCAGCAACAAAACAATTGATGGCAGGGGAGCAGAGGTGCATATTGCCTATGGTGGTGGTCTAACCCTCCAATTTGTACAGAATGTCATCATTCACAACATTCGCATCCATCACATATATCCTGGATCAGGAGGAATGATTAGAGATTCCGTTTTTCATATTGGTTTGAGAACAAAGAGTGATGGAGATGGTATCTCCATCTTCGGTTCAAACCACATATGGATTGACCATGTTTCTATGTCAAAATGCAGTGATGGTCTAATTGATGCCATCATGGCTTCAACAGCAATCACAATTTCCAGCTGCAAGTTCAATAATCATAATGATGTAAGCCGACTCATCATCCTTCACAAATAACCACACACCTACCTATTGACTCATACTATGTTGATGCTGAAGAATTAATGCGCGAGTGACGATCTAAATGATGATGCAGGTGATCCTGTTGGGAGCAAGTGATGGACATAGCGAAGACGCAATAATGCAAGTTACTGTGGCATTTAATCGTTTTGGGAAGGGATTGGTTCAGAGGATGCCGCGGTGCAGATGGGGATTTTTCCATATAGTGAACAATGACTATGCTCAATGGCAAATGTATGCTATTGGTGGCAGTGCACATCCTACTATTATCAGCCAGGGGAACCGATTCAAGGCCGCCAAAAACCAGTTCACCAAGGAGGTGATACTTGCAATCCAATAACGCGCATATCTAAAAGCATGCATGAAATCTACTGACTTATACATTGAAATGCTAACTTAATGAATTTGTGTGTATATTCTTCATATGTAAAGGTGACCAAGAGGGATTATGCTGAGGAGAGCGAATGGAGCAAATGGCAATGGAGGTCAGAAGGTGACGTATTCTTGAATGGAGCCTACTTTGTTGAATCCGGGGCACCTCTGCATGAGACTCCATTCAACGGTAAGAATAAGCTCCAATTCAAGCCAGGGTCATACGCAGGAAGACTCACCAGATACGCTGGGGCGCTTAAATGTAAAGCAAGCCAACCTTGTTAACAAATAACAAGTATCATGTCTTTATCTTGTTCGGAATGTCCTTCCTGATTCCTATTAGTAGAGAAAGAGATCCAGTGCTTGAACCAGCATTCCCTTTCTTTTTTAATTAGAGATATCAGGTCATCCTTATTTAAATAACCGTTTGTCTTAATTTTTCCAATTCACCTGTAAAATAGATATTTTATATTCTTTTTGTCTTGGTTTTGTGGTATAGGTCAAAACTAATGAGGAACAAATACTATATTAAATCTGTAAAATAGGGTGTATAAGAGGAAATGAAAGAAGAAGAAAACATAGAAAGAACTCTTGTTTGACTTAATGAATTGACACTTTTTTTACCTACTAATGGTTTTCCAATTAAGAAGTTCAATACCACAACTATGATCAAAGTCACAATGCCATTACACTTCAAATGCTACCAACCTAAAGAATTAAGGAAACATACTAAAGCAAAAGTCAGACATGAATGTGTGATCAATCCAATATGACATTGAGAACATCCCATGTAAGAGAGACTAATTACATAAAGAAATTGTAGTGAAATTTTGGTTCACCAATTACAAAGCCAAATCTTTTCCATTTGAAGTCAGGCATATAATTGTTTTTCTTATCAGCCCTGATGAATCACTAGGAGCCTATCAGGCAGCCTAATGAAGCTAGACCAGAGGAATTGGTAATTTTAGCAATGGACTATCTGCTGTCGATGCAAAAGTGGCCTTCATGATTCCTTCTCATGTCAAAAGGAATTTCTGAAAGTGAATGCCCTTGCCAGCGTTCAGAATCTCCAGATCAAAGAATCAAATCCATCAATATCGATTGTCAGTGTCAGTATAGTGAATGAATTATCCCTTCTTTAGGGGACATGTCCTGATATTATGGCCTTTCACCAAGCATAAGCTGCAACTATAAGTTCTTTTCTTGATGGCAGCAGAATCTTTGCTAGCACTCATGAGATTTACTTCTGCAATCTTTCCCTGGGGACATGTCCGACTATTATGCCCCCTCTGTCCGCACTTACGGCAATGGTGATTTCTTGAGACACCTTTAGCCTGCTCTTTCCCTTTTGAACTACAGGTTCTTCTGTTATGCCCTCTCCCACCGCACAATCTGCATCTGAACTGTCTACTAACTAGGTCATGCCGAAGTTCTGGACAATAGTTTCTCCTATGGCCTTCGCGTCCACAATTTTTGCAAAAGAATTTCACCCCTGAAAAAGAATATAAGACTTCAAACTCGGCAAATCATTTCCGTAAAACACAAAATGAGAGAAAGCTTTTTGCATCTCTCGACAGGAATGAGAATATCGAGAAGTTTAAGTCAGATCCTAATCCAAAGTTTAGAAAAATCTGTTTTGGGAAAAAGTGGAAATAGCATTCGGCATAAACCACTTAGTTTCTTTAAGCCACTTGAAGTTGATTTCATGCAAAATAATCAGAAGTATATTCATTTGTCGTACATGGGTACAACGGAAAGAAATATTACATGACGTTAACCGGAACACAAGTGTAGAACCACCAAAATTTTCTACATTTACATTATCAAAGAAACAGCAATCCAAATGTAAAACAATATCAAAGAACTCAAAATACCTTTCATGGATATACTTCTTTTTCGTCGATTCTCTGGATCATCAAAATACTTCTTCATAGCTTCAGAAGCCTGTCTCCTAGCAGCAGGGGTGCCTTTAGTTTTCTGCGAGATAAAGAAAAGCATACTAATTTGTTGGCTGAAAATGAATAACAGAAATGAGTCTATAGAAGATAGCCACGCAACAATATGTAACTGAAATTAGGACAACATTCTTTCTGGTTCAGATTGCAGTCCAGGAACTAAATCAAATGAACGAACGAGATGAACATTTCAAAAGAATGCACAGATGTCTTTTACTAAAGACATTTAATTCATGAACGGAAGGGAAGATAAACATTCAAGAGGATGAAAAAAAGACAAAAAGGTCAGAGACAGTTTGGGACTTTCTGAAATCATGATATTGTCAGAGACGTCTGAAGCATTGTGAATTTGTGATTGATGATGTTTAAGAAAGGCAAGCTTATTTTTGACTTCTGACCTTTATAGCAGCGATTCTTTGTGCACGAAGCAAGGGATCACTATGGATCATCTTCATCCTCTTACTGAATAATCCAGTTTTAGCATTGAGGCTCTGCAACCATCCAACTAAACAAAGAAAATTACATTCATGATTTGGCGGAAAAAAGTGTTTCAGGCTTCAGCAAGGTAATTGGAGGAATGAATTCTACAAATAAACTGTATTTGGAAAGGAACACTAACTTTGAGTGCTCTGCTAATCTTCATATTTACTTCTGGTCTTGGAGAATGATATACACGCTTGGTTTTTCTCCCCTCATCTAACTTTATGTCTAAATCATCCACTTCATCATCTTCTTTTACCTTAAGTGGAGAACTGCAAATTCATCAATGTGATTTTAATGATAAGAAGTTCAAAAGGACATCGCCTGGCACAAATACAAAATGATTGTGAACTCTTTGAACAAAACGAAAGAAAAGAATGCAAATATTAGAACAAAATTGGCTGATTCCCCCAATTATACAATCTCAAATGCTTCTGAGACATTTAGCAAATTAGATAAACATTTGTAGTCAACTACTATCATTTGACCCTTTGATGAACTCTAACTCGGTGATGCATGAAAAGCATTCATTATAAAATTAATTCCAAAGAAGGGAAACAAAAAGCAAAAGAATGGATGAAAAATTTTGATAAATAAGGTAAACTAGAACAGCACAAGAATGGATGGATGATTTCAATAAATAAGATAAACGAGAAGGAATCAATTACATTGAGCGGGCTTTTTCCCATGGCTGTTCATCGTATGATTCTTCCCAGATTACACAATCACCAAGGCATTGACGACATGCAACTGTACCCTGCATAATTACAAGGCTCTGATCAAATATGAGAAATAAAAATAAAATAAAAAGTACAATGGGATTATAATGTATGTAACTAGGATATCAAATAATCATTTAAGAAAAGAAAAACAGTGGTAACTAACAAGAATACCCCTGGCTTAAGATTTCTTATTGTTGAAATGTATCTATGCAATGTTCAGAAATAGATGTACCTTTCCATTACACAAAGAACAATCAGCTCTAGGCCTTTCTATACCGCAATTTGTACATGGTGTATAACCCCTCGCTCTGCAACTCGGACAAGGAAGTTCTCTGATATACTGACCATTAGGGCCAAACCAAGATCTTGGTTTCGAGACCTCAGAAACAAGCTTCCTGGAAAATTCATGAGGCACAAGACCAATTATAGTTTTATGGAGCAAGTTAGTTACCAAAAGGGAACCTAAAACCCAACAGATCATGAGTATTAAACTGAATTTTGAATGGCCAAACACTTTGCCTGCGTTTTAGTTCCTCAGTTGGTTTTAGTACTACAATAGCTACTTCTTTTAAAGAATTAGAACAATGAGAAGAAACCTCAATACACCACAGTCATGGTTGTTAGCTCGCTCAAGCAATACTGATTTGCAATTGAACAATAATGAGCTTCAAAATTTCAAATGAAAAAACTGCAAGAACAGTTCCTATTCAAGCAAACGACGACGAAGGTAGAGAAGGAGGGACAAGACCTTGGCTGGGGATCGACAGAAAGTCCATACAGCTCCTCTGGAGGGTCATAAATTGGCTGCCAAATGAAAGTAATATTTTTTATCCAATTGGTACAAGAAAAAATTGGAAAGCTAAATAAAAATAATGCCAACATTCAGAAAACTTTGTCAGAATAGTTGAAGGACAAGGGAAAGGTTACAAATTGAAGAAACCTGGGGTTGGAGCGATTTTGGGAACGATGGTGGGATAGAGGAATCACCTTGCTTCAAGCAAAGTGGGAACACGCTAAATTTCCTTCTGTAATAGGGCAAAATCCACTTCTCCTGACAGGGTTTCCATTGGCATCGACGGACTGATAAGCTCACTTTCAATGAAGATGAATATAAAGAGATACCCATTCTTGCTCTACATAGAGAACAACCATCAAAATTCTGGGGATTCTGAATATCTCAGAGAGATTTGGAAATCATCAGCCTTTTCAGAAGAAGAAGTAACGACTAAAGATTGTGGATATGAAAAGAAGAAGAATTGAATTGGCATTTTTGCTGCATTCTTTAGTCTGTGGTCTATGTAGTTACAGATAATCAACTGATGAGAGAAACCAAGGAATTGTGGAATAGGGATGATTGAATGGATGATGGATCAACTTCAAGTGGGGCCCTTTTCCCTTTCTTTTTACCCATTTCTTTCCCATTGACCAAAAGCAGAGTAAAACTAGAGGAGTATAAAACTAGGAAATTTTGACTGGGAGCAGAACTGCAAGGGACCAAAGGAGAAAAATGTTACAGCTAAACCTCTCCTCTTCATGTCCAGTCCAAAACCCTAATAAGCAATTCCAGGATTATCCATACCATGCTTTGTTCTCCAATACCTCGGGTCACTTCAATCATACATCAAAAAGATCCGTTCTTTCATTCCGTAGTGCACAAAAAAAGTTTTCTTTAAAATGCCGCCAGTCTGATTATTTTGGAACTCAACAAGCTCAGGGCTATGCTGCTAATGAGCAACAAGGTAGCTTTCGTGTTCCTGCTTTGTTCTGGGGTTTTGTTGTGGAAATATGGAGCGGACTTGTTTGAATAGGCATTTTTGGTCTATGGGGGTTTTCCCCCAAATTGTTTGTTGTGTATCCCTGAAGCTTTGCTGCTGAAGTTGCCCAAAATTTTCTGATGTTGTTTGTAATTTGCATGAAGCTTTCCTCCGTCCTGAACTTATTGTCCAGTTTGGATTTTTTTAATTTTTATTTCAAATTGTACTACAAGTGAAAATCCATACTGGACTATATATAACTTTGGGACAGAGGGAGCACAATCTTTCTGGTTTTAAAATTTTATAAAAATCCAGCCTTTGCATCATTCTGATAATATTTCAAGACTTTCTCTCCTATGCTTGGACTGAACTGCATGTTCCTCCCTCAGTGAGCACCTGGTGATAATGTTGAGTGGCTGATTTTAATACATTTTCCTTGCAATTTTGCCAAGTGAAGTATATGTGTGCTTTTATTAAGTGAATTCTCTGCAATTTTGGGTGCATTACAGGGACAGTTCCTCCCAAGGTGTTTGTTGGATACTCAGTGTACAAAGGAAAGGCTGCTCTTGCTGTGGACCCTCGGCCTCCAGAATTTTTACCTTTAGATGTATGTTTCTTGATTCCTTAGTGTGCAGTTAAAAATAAGTCCATGTCTTAATCACTAGTTACAATTTGGTGCTTTTTCAAATAAGCAGCATTGTCATTGAATTTTTGTGTGGTTTTTTCCCCTGATTTTTACATAATTGAACAGTCAGGGGCATTTAAGGTGTCTAAGGAGGGATATGTTTTGCTTCAGTTTGCTCCTTCAGCTGGTACGCGCCAATATGATTGGAGTAGAAAACAGGTTTGTTGTTGCTCTTTTTTCTTGTTTTTGTACTGGTGCGAGCGTGGGGCATGCTTGATTATAGGTATTTTAGAGTTTCTGTATTCTAAAAAGGGTAGAATATGCGGCATGCTTACTTCAAGTGCAACGTAGTTGATGATATGAAATAATCGAATTTGTACTAGATTATATGGAAGACTTGGTGAAATTACTCTGGTTTGGGAAGATCGTAGAACGCAGAAATGAGCATAAAATGCACACCAATAATCTTCTGTTTTTGCTGTTTACAAAATGCCAGGTGTTCTCTTTGTCAGTTACTGAGATGGGAAGTATAATTAGCCTTGGACCAAAAGATTCATGTGAATTTTTCCATGATCCTTTTAAGGGAAAAAGGTAATAGCCCAACTTTGTGATTAAATTTCACTTCTATATGCATGTTTCTACTCTCTAACCAAAACAGCTGCCTGTAATTCTATATTGCTTGTTAATTATACACTAGTATGTTTACTGTCTATTCAACTCTTACTTAATCAGAATTTCTTTATTGGTTGAAAATTTCTTTATTAATTAATGTTTTTCTGCTAAGTCCCATCATAAAATTCCTTGTTATGTTTGGTATAGTGATGAAGGGAGGGTGAGGAAAGTGCTGAAGGTTGAACCGCTGCCAGATGGCTCTGGCCATTTCTTTAATCTTAGTAAGCCTCCAACTTCATGAAATCTTTCACGTAATTCAAATGGAGCAATTATTACACCCTTCTTATCAATAAATTCTGATCGCATAAGTATATGTGGTGAAGGTGTGCAAAACAAGCTTGTAAATGTGGATGAAAGTATCTACATCCCTATCACAAAGGCGGAGTTGGCAGTTCTTGTCTCAGCATTTAACGTAAGATGTCCTTAACTTTGTTTTATTTTCTTCCTGGCGTGTGAATTGTGAAACATAAGACATTATTTCCACTATCTAATGCATCGGTTAATGATCTTCATCAGTTTGTCTTGCCGTACCTTCTGGGATGGCACACTTTTGCTGCTTCCATAAAGCCAGAAGATCCAAGCCGAACGAACAACACTAATGCCAGATCTGGTGCGGAGTTTGAATGGAGCAGATAGTGATGTCTTTAGCTTGGGTAATAGATCCGTAGTATAGGATGCCTTCAGACTGTTTAATCTTACATGTTTGGTTTTCTTTGACCCCTGTTGTGTTGTTGGGTTTGGGCGAGGAAATTCTCCTAGAAGCTTTGGATAGTGTTGTCTGTTATAGCATCAGTAAATGTTGGTTCCTTCTTAATGCCGCGGAATATTGCACCTTCTGCTTGTGCCTCCATGCTTAGTTCAGAAATTGCTTGTTTTACCTTACCCTCGTTAATCTGTGAATCGTCCTTGAAGCTTTGGAGCTTCAGTTGTTCTAAGCTGTGATCAACGGCAATGAGTTGAAAGGGCGCCATTCGTTTCCTGAAGACTCAGCATCAGGACATCTAAATCAAATCTGAAAGCCATTATCATTCGTCATGTTTCCAAAAGTTCGTCATGTCTCTTTTTGGTTCCAAAATTTCAAGTAGTGTAGAAAGATGATTTGGTCTATAACCGTGTATGTGATATGCGTATAATAATAGTACGAATTCAAAATATGATATGCGTATTCACTAATTTCTATGGACAACACATGGGCATTTTTTTGCATGCTTATTATATTTAAAACTTCGTTGGCATCTCCAGTATTTGATTACTATAAAGATGGCTGCCACACCCGAGAAAGATATAATACTTAAATCTGATACTGTAATCATGGTTGATTATATGGTCAACTACTGCGGATCTTGGTTCACGAAGCACTAACAAATACAACTTCATTGGGTGATTCTGACTTCCTGAACTCTGCATCTGCACCCAGAGTTTATACTGTGCAATGGCCACATTTTTCTTACTCTTGATCTGCTTGTCTTCACTTCTCTTATCCAGCAGAGCTTCTGCGGAGCTAATTACTTCTCTTCCTGGGCAACCTGCCAATTCACCCTTCAAGCAATACTCCGGTTACATTGTTACAGATGCTCAACATGGCCGCGCTCTATTTTATTATTTCGTTGAAGCTAAAGCCGAAAATCCTTCAGCACTGCCCCTTACATTGTGGCTAAATGGAGGTGATGTAAGCTGTTGTATCTAAGCGTTTGACTTTGATGATAGTTTTGTTTTTTCTGATTTACTTCACTTTCAGGCCCTGGTTGCTCTTCACTTGGATTTGGTGCATTCATGGAGCATGGTCCATTCCAGCCGGCCAATGGAGGACAGTTGACTAGTAACAAGTACTCTTGGAATTTAGGTAGAACTTAAAACTTGTAAATCTGATTGACTGTAATCTCTTTTTCTAAACTACCACATTGTTAAATGAGCCCATTCTGCAAATTTCTACAGTCTCGAACATGTTGTATGTGGAGTCTCCTATTGGAGTTGGATTTTCATACTCAAATACGAGTTCAGACTACAACAATTGGAATGACGCCGAGACAGGTAATCATTGACCTGCTATCACTGCTCTTTTGCCGCGGTTTAGTAGGTAGAAAATTTAATTTGTTGTCGTGTTTAAAGACTTCGGTATCTGCAGCTCAGGATAATTTACAATTCATCATCAACTGGTTTAAGGAGTTCCCCAGATACAGAAACTCAGATTTGTATTTGACAGGGGAGAGTTATGCAGGTTGGTTCTTACCCTGAACTTAACTATCTAAAGAGCTTAGTTACCTTTTGCATCACTCTGGTACCCTGTAAACAAGAGACATAGTAGAACTGAAATTTTTATTTCAGGTCATTACATACCACAGCTTGCATCATTGTTGATAGAGTACAACAAACGACAGAACAATAGACCTATCAACCTGAAAGCAATAGCAGTACAGGATTTGAATTCTTTATCACTTTGAATCTTCTTAAGCAGTATTCTGCCCTTTATTTTTTTTATCAATCCATTTTTTTCCCTCTTCTTTGTGTGGCAGTTGGGAAACCCTCTTCTAGATTCTCAGATAAGCATTGATAATGGTGAATTTTTGTGGTCACATGGATTAATCTCTGATGAAATGCTCACTATGAAGAAAACGGTTTGTAATGACTCAAGATACTTCTTTGAGAGGGTGCACCGGAATATAAGCAAAGAGTGCAGGACTATGTTCAGAAATATGATAGCAGAAATGGGAAATGAAACTGATACTGGTGATGTGCTCGCACCTTTATGTCTATCCCCTACTGGTACTAGGCAAACAGCTTTTATGGAAGATTTTATTGATGCAAAGGTAAATTTAAGTTCACTGAGTTCTTGGCTTTTAGTGCTTACTTTTAGTACTTCATTTTAAAATTTCAAAATAATTGAATTCAAAATGTATTCAGCTTTAGCAGATCTGTTGCACTTAGTTTTGCTCCTAATAATTTGGATGCTTGATTGACAGCCATCGATAAAAGATACAGTTGGTGATCCATGCCTTGGTGACAGAACGTATGCATATCTTAACAATCCTCGAGTTCAGGAAGCATTGCATGTGAAAACAACTAAACTTCCAGCTTCTTGGGATTTTTGCTCAGGGTCCAGTTCAGCCTGACTTTTCCCTTTCAGTCACAACACAAGAACAAAAACATTCTAATGCACATTTCTTATCTTGCAGGCCCCTGAAATACCAGATGGAAGATACAGCTGCAAACATCATACCTCAGTTGTCAGCCATCATTAGAGAGAACATTCCCATCCTCCTTTTCAGGTTGGCTTATTTTCCTGTTTGCAAGAAAATTTCAAGACCTTGTTCCAGTGGATTAACATTTCAAAGCGACATTTACTCTTGAGAAGCTATATCTTAAGTGTCAATTAACAGTTTCTTCTTATCAGCGGTGATCAGGATTCAAAGATCCCCCTCACGCAGACTAGAACAATTGCAAATTTGGTTGCCAAAGATTTGCAACTCATAGCTCTTGAAAATTATGGTCCTTGGTATGACGGCAAGCAGGTAAAGTGTACCACTTATTTAGCAATAAACGCCTTACGGAAACTAGTTTCATATATAGTTCAATCTATTTGTGATTTCTCAGGTTGGGGGATGGAGTCAGTCGTTTGGTACAATCAAGAGCAGCAACAACAGTACGTATTTGACGTATGCAAGCGTTAAAGGTGCAGCACATGAAGTGCCCTTTACTTCTCCTTCCCAGGCTTTGACCCTCTTCAAAGCATTTCTAGGAGGACTTCCTCCACCAAAAAAACCCACCAGCAGCAACCTTGAAGTATCTCCTCTAAAATTTTGAGGGTCTTGCTTGGACACAGTCATTTTCTCATCTCCATTATCCTTGATTTAAATGAAGATAGTGTTCGTTAAGAACATTGTTTCAATCATACACTGGTAATAAAATATTCATGATTTAAATGTTAGTCAATTTAATGGTCCAGAGAAGCTTGATCTAGCTTACTCTTCCTCAGTATCATTAATCTCAAATTCATCCTTACAGCCGCCTAGATTTCTACTAAATGTTAGTCAATTAGACAAAAATAGAAATGAGTTAAGGTGAAGTAGTATACAGACTTGGCCAGTGATAGTCAACTACTGGATGAACCAATCAATTTTCAGCATTTCCAGTTCTACACTGTATCCAATGGCAATGAATTGGATGGTTGCTTTAGACCAGGAAATGGGCCGCCACAAGTTTTCAAAGTTTCAACAGCTTTGCACAGCGTTATTCAAACTTGAAACCTTCTATGATTACTGTTTGGACTATAAAATGGTGTACTTTCGCTTTCGCAACGTTCTACTCCTCCCGTCGCAAAATGATTTACACAATAACAAAAATGACCATTATTTTAGGTCGGAAGGGGTATGTAGTGATTTAAGCTGTCCAGTACACTTGTTCCAGAATAAACATTTTCAACCACCCCTCGACCAGGTCGCTTCTTGCAATACTCTTCCAAAATGATGTTATAGTACTTAAATGATTTTCAAACCAAGATTTGCGTTTACAGTTTGCACGAATTTCTGTGAAAACAACATGGATATTTGCATGCTTATACTGATTAATTATTTTGATTGGGAACAAAATAGCTGCCACATTCTTCTGATACAATAAGTACTTTCAACTAAAGCTGATCAGGCTTCGTTAAGTACTTTCAAATCCTTCATTTTGTCGATCACAGTTTCTCAAATCTATGCACCCCAAGTTTCTGGGTGAAAATGGTGATGCTCAACATGGCCGCGCTTTGTTTTACCATTTCGTTGAAGCCGAAGCTGAAAATCCATTAGCACTTCCTCTTACATTATGGCTGAATGGAGGTGATTTGCCAACTTTTTTATGATCGAGTCTTCGACTTTGATGATTGTTTTTTTCTTTTTAAGTCTTCTGATTAAGCATTTGTATCATCAAGTAGCAATTCTCTTTACATTTTAAAAACGCTTGAGGCATCTGCAGCTCAGGATAATTTACAATTCATCATCAACTGGTTCAAGAAGTTTCCCAAATACAGACACTCAGATTTATACTTGACTGGGGAAAGTTATGCAGGTCAGTCAGTGTTCATTCTGTACTAGACAATAACAAATCTGTGCAGCATGGTTCTCTTTCTTTACAATATACTTTGGTCCCCAGTTACACAAAAGTTTTCTTTTTTTTAATCTAATCTTTGATGATTTGAATTTTAGGTCACCATATTCCACAGCTTGTATCATTGTTGATAGAATACAACAAACAACAGAAGCACCAACCTATCAGGCTCAAAGCTATAGCGGTACGTCATTCTTCATCAATTTGCATATCCTTAAACAATATAGCTAGCCTGCAGTTGACTGTTATTTCAAGAGAATGTATTGTCTGTGCTCTGCAGTTGGGAAACCCACTACTCGATTCTCAAATAAGCATTGATAGCACTGAGTTTTTGTGGTCGCGCCGGTTAATCTCTGACGAAATGCTTGCTATACAGAAAACAGTCTGCAATGATTCAAGGAACTTCTTGGAGATGACAACAACTTCACTAAGGAATGTGTGGATATGTTCAGAAAAAAGATAGAGGAAGTAGGACTTGAAATTAATTTCAATGATATGCTTGCACCCATATGCATATCCACTACTCGAGTGTTACAAACCACTTTTATGGGAAATATTGGAGCTGTTGATCCCTGCAATGTTGATAGAATATATTCATACCTCAACAATCCACGAGTTCAGAAAGCACTGCACGTCAAGACAACTCGAGCTCCCGCTACCTGGGAGTTCTGTTTAGGGTCAGGTTCCTCTTCTCTTTCTCAGGTAACACACAAAAGTATGAGACAGAATCACATTTCAAAGAATTCGTTTTTTTTTTTTTTTCTTCCAGGAACTGACAATCTGATTTTGCAGACCCTTGAAGTACCAGAGGGAAGATTCCGCTGCTAACATCATACCCCTCTTATCAGATATTCTTCGAGCGAACATTCCAGTTCTGCTTTACAGGTTGGCTTATCTAATGGTAGTGAGATTCTCATAAAAAAATCTTAGCTTATTTCGGTGTTTAGAGTTCGTATGAAGAAGAGTTAATTTCCTTAACCATACCTAAATCATTTTTGATTAAATTACTGTGTTTATCAGTGGTGATCAAGATGCAAAGATCCCAATCACGCAGACTAGGAAAATTGCAAATTTGGTGGCCAAAGATTTACGACTTACAACTCTGGGAAAATATGGTCCTTGGTACGACGGGATGCAGGTAAACACAGACTCCGCCGATTCACGTATCAGGCTCTAACGGGAAGTAGCTTCATGTAGTTGGTTAAACGTTATCTATTTGCGGTTTCTCAGATTGCAGGGTGGAGTCAATCGTTTGGGATACTCAAGAACAAACAAACACTACTTATTCGACATTTGCAAGTGTTAGAGGTGCAGCTCATGAAGTGGCCTTTACTTCTCCTTCCCAGGCTCTGACCCTCTTCAAAGCATTCCATGGAGAACTTCCTCCACCAAGATCCCACCAACAGCACCCTTGAATTATATCTCCTTTCAAAAGTTGAATATCTTGCTAGAAAACCACTATATTCCCGGCGCAATTGCACCATAGTGTATGGTTTGAAAAACAAAGCGAATGTTTTATACCGATCAATGTATCTATAGACATAATGCATTAGTAATCCAAGCTTCTGCTAGCTGGTATTCCAGCTCCAGTTAAACACTTGCTCCAAGTAGACAATAAACAACAATGTTGTTGATTATGAAGGGGAAGTTTACGTTAGAGAACTATTGCAAGCATATCCCAAGACTTGCTAAAAAAGCTACATTACCAAGGGCGAGTTCTAGTAAAAGTGATCAAATCAAAAGGCTGCACGACTACATTAAATTAAAACATATCCCAACCTTTCAGATGATCATTTAGGAAGAAATTCTATTTTGCATTATAAAGGCGTCATCTCACTAACCAGACCTTTCACAACAATAGCGAATTCTCATCATGGGATTTCACCCATCACAGCTGAAAGGGATTTGAATTTAGTGTCCACTAATCACCAGATTGCAATTTGTCTTCGTCAACCTCAAAGGCTTTTCTTGCTTGTTTCAACTCTTCATTCATAGACAACAACTCTGTACACCTATTAAGCTTGGGCGGGTCCTGCAAGATTCAGCAAAAAATCTTGAAAAGAACATAAAGACTAAAAGCACTACAAAACGTCCAGCTAAAAAACAGGTTTGCAAATTTGAACACTATAAGTTTAGTACCACCTTAACAAGAAAGTTAAAGATATCCTAGACTAAATCTCCCAAGATTGGACATTCTCAATTTGTCATACTTGCTCCAAAATCACATCACTTCAAAATAATTTGCAAAACAGCATTTGATGGACAAGAATGAAAGCAAAAGAGACCCAATGATTGACAAGTGAGTCAATGACCAAAACCCATAAGTGGCGAGGACAAATGATCATTCAGGTTCAAAATCACTTATGAGACAGATTGAAAACGTATTTGACAAATAGTATTTGAAATCTATCACTAGGTTTCATGTAGAAGCACAGCACTAACTTAGAATTACCAGAGAGAACCATTAGCATAATGTCCACAATATTTATTGAAACAGCTTCTATTTTCAACTAGTGCTTATCCAAGAAGATGTGCTAGTATGCAAAATAATACCTTTCGGATTAAAAACAAAAAGTCTTCAGTTAGAAGCTTCCCTCTCTTAGATGCTATATTCTGAGCTTTGTGGACCTGCAAAAGTTAGATACATCCCATAAGATGAGGAACCAGAAGTGGAAAACGCTAGCTGCAAAGACATTTATTCTTTTAGTGGTTAGGGTTTCCAGTTACCATGTCTGTGACGTACTCCACAACAATGTCTTCCACAAGAGCCACAGTTTCGGGAAGCGGCTGTTAAGCGTAGGAGTGCAATATAAAACAAGTAAGATCATAGGACTTCAATGATAAAATATTAAAAGCATAAAAAATGTCCACGTACGCATCGAGTAAGTTCAAACAAGAACATAAGTTTCATCCATAGATAGCATTTTTTGTACAGCTTCTGATTCATGGACACCAGCAATTGCACAGATCCCATGATTCAATACAGAATAAGCAACAAAGTAGGGTCATCAGAGTAGTTGTCTAGCCAGAGTTACGAAAATTAATAAGTATCCCGTGCATCTTACAAATCAATTCGGCATATAAAACATTTTCACAAGGGAAAAGTAAAAAAAGAAGAAAAAGTATTACCCTAACAAATTCAAAGAGACCATTTAATTTATTTAGAAGAACAGGGTTTTCTATTAAGCATACTACTGAAAAATGATCCAACGCAAACAGAAACATTTCACCCTAAAAAGGTAATGAATATAAAATTGCATGATTGAAAAAACATTGATAGAGAATAATCAAATTAGTTTTGTCCTTTCAATGAGAATTAAAATTTCAACAACAGAGTCAGAGAAACTAATTTAAGTAGGAAAGAAACACATACATTTGGATCATCCCCGAAGCCGTACATCATGTGCTGCACTACATCATCAAATAAATTCATTAGACAAGGAAAATCTAGCCAAAAGCTATACTAAATAATAAAATAAAACAAACAAAAACAAACTACTCACAATCTTTCTGAAACATTCCACGCTTGCGCTTAAAGGAAGCTTCAGATGGCTGGGAAGATCCCGCTTTCGCTTTTGATGAGGGCCCTGCTAAAGGGTTGCTCATCCTCCTATTATTTGGAGGAAGAAATACAAAGAATAAGCAATGGAAGTGGTATTTGTTAAAACTGGGAACCAAGAAATCATTTAATCCCAATTCTCACAATGTGAAATTCAATCCCTAAAGTAACTGATAATGTCCTTGCACAAATGAACAAAAACCGCTGTGCAGTTTCCATGAAAAATCAGCTTCAAACCCAAACAGAGGAGCCAAAAGAGGCCAAATTTCAGTTAATTCACTGGGCCGGTTTAACAGTTAATGAGCCATTCAATAATGTAGTTTCTCTCCCACAAGTTACCATATAGAACATTCATGAATGAGGAAAAAGATCATTCTTAAGAAATGTAGATCATTACGTTTCCGCTCCAGCAAAAATTTTCATCTCTAAAACCCCATATAACAACTGTTTGATGAGTGCGAATTCAACATTCGCACGAGTAAATTGAACAAAAGGGTTCCAGAAAAAGAAACTCAACAAATAGGAGCGATTACAGGAGATTTATAGAATACCTCTTTGAAATTGAGGAGTCAACGTTTAGAGGTGGAGGAAGAGAGGCCGACAACAACAATGATGAAACATTCGTTTCTGTTTCCGTCCACGGCGGTGGAGTGGAGGAACCGTCGTCGACTGGAGGAGAGACGATGATTTTTATATATTACTCCGAGAAGATAATTTCCGGTTTACTATTGGCGCCGCAGGCCCAAATCTCTCTCGGGCCGGGTCCCCATTAGTACGAGATATGGGCCTTACCCATTCCTCAAACAGACCGCTTTCAGTTCAACAGCGGCCCAGCAGTAGTGTTTGCTTTGCCCCATAAAAATGGTAATTTTATTTTCCCTGAATATATATATATATATATATATATATATATATTAAGAATAAAGGGGGAAAAAACAGTTATGAAAAGTAGAAAATGCATCAGAGAAAAGTGAAAACTTATTTAGAAACACCAAATAAAAAAATCAAAACATCTTCTTTTTTTTTTCTTGTTGTTTGCATTCCTCTAACAAACGATTGACAACAACACAAAATAGTCAAACAATAATAATAATAATTTACAATTAATTGTAAAAACATAGTTTGATAAATATCAACAATGAAGCCCCCTCCATTAAATAATAGTGTATGTTAAATTTTAAGATCTGTACCAGTATTTTATTTTTAATATAAATCTCAACACTCAATATGAACCTTTTGTTTTTTGGCCTTCTTCCTTTAGAGACATAAGTAATACTCAAAATACTCCCAAAATCGCTTCATAAAGGGAAGGGGGGAAAAAACAGATAATACAACTTGTTATATTGAGTATTGACAGCTTAAGGGTCCTACTCCTATTGTTGAAGAAACTGGAAGGGCCTGCAATGTGCAGTGATGTCCTGGAGAAATATAGATATGTATGGTTGTAAATTAATGCTTGGATCATACGTTTGGAAGAAAAATTAAAAGCATGTGATCATGGTTCATGTGTAGCTATCACATGCATACCATAATCATCATCAACTTTTTTAGTACTCAATTCTTTCTATATATACCCTTTCCTCTCATTTCTGGTTTGACAATCACACCAAAGTAGTAGTAACTCAAAAAACTCATCAAAGAAAACATTTCAGAGCTTTGCTTCTTACGTTCCTTAAGCCCCCCCACCCCAACCCGAAGCTCAATTAATGGCGATCCGTCTGCCGCGTATGGTTCATGCCAAGCAACTCCTGATGAGGCGGAATTCGTGGTCATCATCGGTTGATGTTCCAAAGGGATATTGTGCAGTTTATGTTGGAGAAAGTGATGATCAGAAGAAAAGATTTGTGATTCCGGTGGCTTACCTGAATCAGCCCTCATTTCAGGAATTGTTGAGTCAAGCTGAAGAAGAATTCGGTTATGATCATCCAATGGGTGGGTTGACAATCCCCTGCAGAGAAGACATCTTCGTTGATCTCACTTCCCGATTCAGTAGGAGTACTAATGCATGTTAGTCTTGTCTTAATAATGTAGACGATCCATGAAGCTCAATTTTGTAACTTAGTGTTGATATAGAATAAAGAATACATGCATACTTGTTTATATTACACGAAAACAAGCAGAATGATGCTGATGTACATTCAGTTTACCTTGATTATCTTATCTATCTGACGATGATTAGTGCAGAGTTTGAAGTTGAATCTTAAAATCATTTGCTGTTCTCTACTTAGTATTGAAAAGCTTCTTGTCATGGCCTTATAGTTGATGTTCTTTTCTTATTAATCTCTCAAGATTTCAATGATATCCATTGAAAAACAAGTTAATCGCAGTATATAGGATCAAATTAAGCTTCCAAAATTCCAACGTAGAAACCGCAAGATCCGGGAATAAACTAGTTTTATTTTGTGATTGTGATGTATTGGCAACAACAGAAAGGCCGGCCTTTTAACTAAAAGCGGATCACGGGGACCTGGAAATTAAAAAAAAGTCTGAAATTTAAGGTTTAGTTCATGCATGATCTTTCTCGTGTTCAATCCTTGTTACAGAAGAAGAAAGTCAAGGAACACCCGTGACGTGATGCCGATTTATTAAGTTTGATGAAAAATGCTTTGCTCAATATAAATTAGTACTATTGGATTTGGACACAATATCAGTAATTGATTAGGACAGTTTCCAAATCAAACGCAGAGCCTAATCAGTCACCATTAGGCTTTTCTCTCTTTAATTTAGCAATTATACCTTTTTTGAATCTTCGACGTTTATCCGAGAATGAATCCTAAGAACCATAGATGATGAATTCATAGTGTGATAGATTCCAGAGTAATATAGTGAGAGATTAAACCCGAAATTATTGTATGAATGACCTGACTTTATTCAAAAAAGAAGTGTGGGCAGTCTGTTAATAAAAAAAATGCATCAGCTGCTGAACATTGTTAGACCAATTTGGCTCAAAGTGTTCGACCATCAACCAACAGATGTGATAATGTTCCTTAATGGCTTGTCTTTAAAGATGTCATCATCATCATCTAACTAAGTAGTAGTAGTAGTAGTAGTTTTTGTTTGTCATAAAACAAGCATTGTGGTATGAATTCCTCACAGACATCATGACCTGGGCTTAGCTAATATAATTTTGCGGTCACTGGCTGCGGCTGCGCAGCCAGACAAACGTAACCTTAAATAATTCAAGAAGTATATGACATTTTGGGTCATCAACCCAACTATTCCCGACTGACAAGGCCCAAGTTGGGGTCTTGTGACGAATTCGGTGGTCCTTCAAAACCAGAATGACATTGTAATTTACAAGACTTTTAGCTCACCAAAACTCTGCAGCTTGATTCCAACACTCTCAGGTGAAGTGGTTCTGTCATAGGGGCAAACCCATGTGAACTCATACCCGATACAACATACTATGTTCCTAAGTGGACCACAGTTTTCGACAAGGAAAGCCACCGGCATCAGCTCTACCACACTATAATCTGCCACCTAAAAACTAGCGCATAAACCAATCCACAGAAATACAAGATCATCTACAGAACTGTTGAGTATCTTTTGAGTAGTAAAATCAAGCAACATGGGTATTAGAATTTCCGCAAATTTCTAATGCTAAGCGGGTATTGAGTAGAGTTATTGAAAATCCAGGAGGAGGTACACATGTTCCTGAAGGCCACTTTGCTGTATATGTTGGAGAAACGAATCGGAAAAGATACGTGTTACCACTATCCTATCTTAGCCATCCTTCATTCCAGCAGTTGCTGAGCCAAGCTGAGGAAGAGTTTGGATTCCACCATCCTATGGGTGCTCTCACAATCCCATGCAGCCAAGATATTTTTCTCAATATGTTACCTGCATTCAGCAGTATTAATTCAAGCTAATAAGCAGATTAATTTTCAGATGATAATTATATAGTCTGCTCTGACTTCCGCTTATGCTTATTTCCCGGAGGGCTCTTGTTTGATTCAAAAGATTTGATGAGTTAGCACAGTGATAGGTACAATTTTTGTAGCTAAAATTTGATAGAAGTGTCTTTTGTACAGTTCTATTCTGTAAATGAAATTATACATCAGATATTTAGTTTCATCTTTTTGCAATCTCAAAGCTTTACGTTTTCGGATGTTGAATTCCTTCATCGGCCTTAAACACTTGCGACTTAAAAAGTCTATATTCCTTCTAAGTTCTAACCTAAATTCCGTACTCGTCGACTTTTACATCGGGCTAACAAAGTCGACGACATTTTTCTTACATAGGCTTTGATGCTCGTCGAGTATTTCGTCGGGATAATATAATCGACGATAAAGTCGACTACCTTTTACTTGCTCAAAATTTGCACTCATCGGTTTTGGCGTCGGAATAACAAGGCCAACGCCACAGTAGACGCAATTTTTCTTGGACATAAAAAATTGCACTTGTCACCTTTTTTGATGACCTAAGTGCCTCAATGAAAATGTCCGCTAGGTAAATCTACGACTAATCCGAGCTCGGTGAAAAATTCTGCACCAACTCCATTTACAGATGTTTTCATAAAACACGTTAAGCCGATTGCAAAACCAGACTAAATGCAATCAGAGGGCGGATCAGACTCAACATTAGAGCATGGTTTCTGTTGTACTCGGTATAATAAGCACATTGTTTCCAAATGTTGAATTACCAACCGACATAAGAAGCCTAAATTGCGATATAAGTAGCAACACATGAAGCTGTTGAACTAGTAAAGCTTCACATGGCTTTGCCTAGACCCATTGCACAAACACATTGGCCTACAGGCGAAGAAGTCTGAAGTATATTTGATCATATTCATATGGGGATAGCTCTATCTGTAATGATCTTCTTGTTCCCCAGTCCTCGTCTAGATTTTCTTATTACATCCCATCACCAAATCATTTCACTGGTAATGACAGCTTCATTTTCAAAAGAGGGACCCCAACGTATGCTTTATGTTATAGACGTTGTCAAGTTGGTAGGCCACTGCTATGCATTATTACATGGTTCCAAATGCCTTTGACAATTTAGTTAGAAGGCAAAACCATGTGATGAGATGATCATTGAAAGCAGCTAAAATTGTCCATCCTATCTTTTTGTGCTAATTTTATGTCCACAAAAGGTACCTGGAGACTTATCATGCTGAGTCAAGATAACAAAACTTTGTCATTCATCATCTATATAAACGCCTATAAGCTTCTTGTTCGACAAACACAAAAACAATCCTCTATTGCTCAATTCATTAGTTCAAGTAAGAAACTTTGTGCTTCTTCTCGGTCATCTTTAATTATCCAAATTCATCATCTCGTATAGCAAAATGGCGATTCGCTTTTCTCGTATCATTCAAGCTAAGCAACTCCTGAGGCGGTCTTCTTTCGGATCAAACAACAATGCTAATGCTGCAACAACTTCAGCTGATGTTCCAAGGGGATATTGTGCGGTGTATGTTGGAGAAAGTGAAAGGAAACGGCATGTGATTCCCATAGCTTACCTGAATCAACCCTCATTTCAGAATTTGCTAAGGCAAGCTGAGGAAGAATTCGGTTATGATCATCCAATGGGTGGATTGACAATCCCCTGCAGAGAAGACATCTTCATTGACCTCACGTCTCGTTTCTGTAGAGTCTGAATTTTACCTTATAACTTGAAAAGGTAGAGCAAAAATTTTGTAGCACAATATGTACACGAAAACAAGTAGATTGTAGTTAAATGTACATTCGGTTTCTGATTCTGTGGATAATGAAAAGAGATTGATTATAAGTTTTTGAAGTCGATTTTTTTTTTTTTCTTTTTGACAACGCCGGAAACCTCATCGGAGATGGGTAAACGCTCTCTGCACAGTGGGAGATAAACCACCCTAGACAAGCCTGTAATGACAAGTTCAGGTGCTAAATCGAGAGTTCATTAATGGGTTAGCTATTTGAAATCGAATTTTATTCATTTACATTTCATGATATCCAAGACATTGTATTTGCTCCATCTTAATTTGCTTCCAGGATGTTACCTCTTATTACACACAATAATATAAAGGGAAAAAATAAATGAAATTAAAGGGGTTGATTAATTTGTTCTACAAAGTCAAAAGGTTGCAACTATTGAATACGATAACTCTTGCGAGTTTGCAAGCAAAGACCTTTTCAAAGAGAGAATATAACAATCAGAAGCATTAGAAGGTTGAACCGGGGCTTTCTTCTTGACACGTGGAAGAGCATTGTTAACGTGGCATAGTAGGCCATCTTCCACATACAAACCCAAATTTAACTGACTAGTAGCACTATTCACAGACATCTCTCTCTCTCTCTCTGATTACTGATCCATGTTCTTCATCATAATTTTCGATTGAAAAAAGGCAAAAACAAAACGGGCTCTTGGCGAAACGTACCAGAACCAACTCTTCAGAAATCGGATCATTGCAAAAGCCAGAAGGAGTGGCACAGAGGTAACAATTTCTTCTGATTGAATGGGAAAAGTAAGGATGAACAATGTTTTTGCTAAATTGCTTTCGTATATAAGACTGTATCACTGAGTTATTTTCTGTATTCTGTGTCTTCTTTTGTGGGCTAGCTCTAGTTATGGCTGATGAAACAAAAACCCACAAAGGACATAGGACATGGTTTAGATGTTCTTAAAAGAAAACAAAATGTGAAAACTCAAGAACATTAGATCACTCCGCAGAATTGATCACAACATGATGCCATCTTTCCTTTTGATTGATTAACGTACACACACACACACACAAACACACGTGGGAATGGAATACGCTCTGAAATTGTGCTGCATATGGCATGCTAAATAACTGATTGTATCATTTTGTAGCTTCCTGATGAGTAATTTGTAAATTTCATTTGGTCTGTTAGAGTTTCGCAAACATGGCACAATCATCCAATAACCCAAAATCTGCAAGCTATGATGCTTACTTTGAGAAGGTTCAAAGCAGGAAGAAATTGCCTCTATCATTACAGGAAACTCTAACTGCGGCATTTGCCAGAATTCCAGTGTCCTCCTTCCCGCAGGTTCCGGGAGGCAAAGGTAAAACAGGGACCAATACCTGATCCTTCCGGACGTGCGAAATTTCAGTTTATGGACCAAGATTCTAAAGTTAACTGGTGCCTTATAAAATGTTTGTAGTGATTGAAATTCCAGCGGACACATCCATTGGAGATGCAGTGAAAATTCTCTCTGAGAGCAATATCATGTCAGCTCCTGTGAAGAACCCTGATATTCAGCATACAACAGAATGGAGGGAAAGATACTTGGGAATCATTGACTACGCCGCCATTGTACTCTGGGTACTAGAGTCTGCAGGTGTTGCCGCAGCTGCCCTATCAGCCAGTTCCGCAGCTGCTGCTGGAGTAGGTGCTGGTGCAGCTGGAACACTTGGCGCATTGGCACTCGGCGCAACAGGTCCCGTTGCAGTTGCTGGTCTGACTGTGGCGGCGGTCGGGGTCGCCGTGGCTGGTGGTATAGCAGCAGATAAAGCTATAGCAAAAGATGCCCCGACAGCAGCCGATAAGTTGGGTGAGGACTTTTACAAAGTCATCCTGCAAGAGGAACCTTTCAAGTCAACTACAGTAAGCATTTCACAAGGTTTTACCTTAATTTTTTTGACATGGCCTGGTTCATAATTCTCGTACCTTTGTAAAGCAAGCTTTGGCCTTTTCCATGATCATGGGACATGCTTTGTCCAGGTCATGATTGCTAAAGAGAATACTTTCTATGTTTCTAGGTAAAGTCCATTCTGAAATCTTACCGATGGGCACCGTTCATCCCAGTTGCAACAGATAGTTCCATGTTGAGTGTCCTGTTGCTGCTATCAAAATACAGATTGAGGAACGTACCTGTCATTGAAACTGGCAATTCATCCATTAAAAATTTCATCACACAGTCTGCAGTAATCCAGGGTTTAGAGGGCTGCAGGGGAAGGGATTGGTTTGACTGCATTTCTTCGAACCCCATCTCAAAGTTGGGGCTTCCTTTCATGACTCCAGATGAGGTGAGATTACTCAGATTGAGTGTATCAGTTTTAGAGACTTAACATAACTGCTGATGATAAGTTAGCGATTCCCATCAATCCTACTCAGGTTGTCGGCGTGCAAGGTGATGAACTAGTTCTAGAGGCATTCAAAAAGATGAGAGATAATCAAATAGGTGGTCTTCCTGTTGTTGAGGGTTTAAACAGAAAGATCACTGGTAATGTAAGCATAAGGGACATCAGATTCCTGTTGCTAAAGCCCGAACTTTTCTCCAATTTCAGGTAAAAGGGAGTCTAACGTGTCTAACAGTATCTTACTAGTATATGTTTTTGTCAGATGGGAAAATAAACTTTTCTGCCCCTTATTACTCTCATAGTTAAAAAAAAAAAAAAAAAGAGAGATTACCTCACTAACTCAATAAACTGGCATTTGTTTGGTGATCCTGTGCTCAAAAACTTGGGACATGCAGGCAGCTGACCATCAAGGATTTCATCAACACCGTCGCTTTAGCCACTCCTGAGACAGGAAAGGTGAACAAGCCAATTACATGCAATCCTGATTCAACCCTGGGAGATGTAATTCACACTCTTGCTTCCAACTTAGTTCACAGAATTTATGTAGTTGATGATACCAATGGAGTCATTGGAGTGATTACACTCAGGGATGTGATCTCTTGCTTCATTTTTGAGCCACCAAACTTCTTTGATAACTACTTTGGATTTGCGGCACAAGAGATGTTGGGCCATTGATACACTTGTCATCTTTAATGTAACATTCTTTCAGTAGACTAAGTTCTCCAACCAAGTTCAGTGAAATTTCATCTATGTAACTTTAAACATGGAGCTCCCTTATGTTACTCCTACTTTGCTATGACCAGGAACTTTTCTCAATTTTGTTTCACCGACAAAGGTCCTGATTCTCTCAACATCGTTCCACTTTTCTAATCCAGCATAAATATTGGATAGAATCAAAAAAGGAATAGGATTATCTGGCTGTAAAGCTGAAAGTTTTTTGGCCATTTCTTCCGCCACTTCAGAATCTATATACTGCTTACTAGCTGCCAGCAATGAAGCAAAAACTGAGGACGAGGGCTCTGTTACTTCTTGTAGTAGATCTTGGGCTTCTTTCAGCAGGCCAGATCGGCCAAGCATGTCTATTATGATACTGAGCTGCTCTGAAGTCGGTTGTAAGGAATAATCGACAATCATTAACTGAAAAATTTGCCACCCCAAATCAACTTGACCAGTATGAGAACACATTGAGAGCATGCAATTAAACGTTGCTAAATTTGGCTGCACTCTCTCCTCCAGCATCTGATAGAACAACTTAGAAGCATCTTCGCCTCTGCCATTTCTGCCATAACCCGAGATCATTGCATTCCAGAATGCTGGGTCTGTGGGCCTGATTTCATAATGGTTGAAGATATCCTGGGCGAAAGTAGTCTCCCCACATTTCATATACATATCAATCATTGCGGTAGCAATGAAGTTATCACTATCAATACCAGTCCGGAGGACACATGCATGAATCTCTTGTCCATATCGCAGAGCACAAAGAGCTGAACAGGCCGTCAACAAACTTGTGATGCATTTCGGCGAAGGCACCACACCAAAGGAAATCATTTTCCTGAAAAAGATAAAAGCTTCCTCTGGTTTCCCTAGGCAGGAACACCCATTAATCATGGAATTCCATGTTGCTGAATCTGGTAAAAATTCTTCACCTTCTAACTGAGCGAAGAGGTCCACAGCACTTTCACATTGATTATTCAACATCATCCCAGCAATCATTGAATTCCAAGTTATTAAGTTCCTACGACTACCAAGTTCTTTAAATACCTCATACGCAGAGTCCCAAGAACCACACTTGGAATACATATCTACCAGGGCAGTCCCAATCTTAGTGTCGAACATCTGCTTCCCTTTGGTTACAAGTGCATGAACTTGCCTACCATACCGTAGGTGCTTAAGATTAGCACAAGCAGAGGTAACTGAAAGCAATGTAACAGAATTGGGCCGTTCACCCGATGACGATCTCATCTCATTAAATGTACTCAGAACCTGACAGTTGGCCCCATTCTGCTGCATCCCTGATAAGTATGCATTATAGAAGACAACACTTTTATTGTGGATCATCAGAAAGAGCCTTTCCGCTGAAGCCAGAGCTCGAGAACTCAAATACATAGTTACCAAAGACGTAGCCACGTAAATATCGATTTCCACCCCAATCTTAACAGCCCAAGAATGCAGCTGCACGCCATGCTCAACATCAAAACAGGCAGAGAGCCCACTGGCTATGGTAACCGAATCGGGTCTAACATTTCTATCGTTAGCTAAGCGGAACATTTTCAGGGCCTTATCGCTAAACCCATTTTGAGAAAACCCAGAGATCACCGCATTATAGAGAGCGATAGTCGGTTGAGGTATTTCATCGAACACATAGGTGGCATTATCCACGAGGCCAAGCTTCATATACACACTTGCTAGAGCAGTTGCGGTGTGAATATTGAACTGAAACCCCGATTTGATGATGTGGGCATGCAACATTTGTGCTTCAGAAAGCGCTTTAAGGCCGGCGCAAGCTTTAAGGAGATAAGGAAAGGCAGGTTTTTTGGGAAGAAACATGCCAGAGATAGAGGCAGAATGGAATTGCGAGTAAAGAGTTAGAACTTCTTTGAAGAGTCCATTCCTGATTAGCTTTGCCATTTGGGTCGTCATTTTTTATGCTGACGGCCGTTCCCATAAGAGGGAAAATGGCGCTAATTTGAACAAGAGGACTGAACTCGAAGAAGACGAGTGAAAGACAACATTTTGATTACGTCAGTCTAAAGGAAAAGGCACGCCTTTGAAGTGCTTTCCATCATCTTCCACAATGAGTTCTATAGCGAAAGCGTGAGAGACTTCGAAAGTTTCCATAAAGGCGGTGTTTTTGTTACTCTGGCTTGACAAATGAAATAACCTATGCAAAGATGCAGAAAAAATAAAAATTTCGACTTTTTGGAATTTTGGAAGACAATGTGGAACTACTAAAGGAGATCAGTTTTGATAGTTTCGGATTGGGACTTTTGTCAACGGCCTATCAAATTTGGTTTATAACAAAATTATTCCCTCCCTCCCAAAATAATTGTCCTTTGGGGACCAAAGGAGCATCTTTTTCTCCTTTTTCATATGATGATCAAGGCAAAAATAAGAAGAAATCCTCAGCCTTTTTCTTGCTACGCACTTCAGTTCAGTCCATGAGATGAGATTAACGAGTAAAAGATACGTTAATGCTGTTGTAAGTTAAAGTAGGACAGGAATCATTTGATGTAGGAAGCTTTTGGTAGTTTGGTTAGTTTGTATTTGTGCTAATTAAGCATTAGAAAAGAAAATGTACACTTCTATCCTGCAGTCTGATTTATCTCATAACTGGAGACTGTAAAATTTCCCGACTATATTTCAAAAAAGAACCCAGTTCTGTACTATATATTGAGGAGCAATGAGTTGTTGCATATCAAGTGTTCGTCGAAATTCAAGCCTTGGAGACGCCCTAATACTGCTTGCTTAAGTTTCCGCTGAGTCTTCCGCCCATGTTTCCGCTGAAATTCCCGCTGAAGTTCCCCCCGAGGTTTCCACTGCTGGCCCATCCTTCTTGAACTTGTACTGAATACTGCATGTGCCAAAGAATGTCTTCTACTGAGGGACGCGTGCTGGAGTCTTTGTTCAAGCAACTTATGGTAATTTGGGCTATTGTTTTCAGTGATTCGTATGCGTAAGATCCTCTGATGGAGGGGTCTGTTAAATCTCTGAGTTTTGTTGCCGACTCTGCCAAGCAAATTTCCATCTGTGCACTCAAGAGGGTAAGTTAGTATTTTCGCCTCGAATTCATTCATGTATGATACTACGCTTAGCAGATGAGAAATCTACTACTGGTAGTAAGAGTATCATTGATTACCTGGAGTTGTAGGTCATCTGCCTCACTCTTAGATATAATTAGTCGACCCGTGATAACTTCAAGCAATATCACTCCCAGCTGATAAATGTCCTCCTTTTCTGCATTTTCACTAGCCAAGGGACTCTCTTGACCAACCAGAGGGCTTTCGGAGCCAGCCTGGGTAAAATTTACAGAAAAATATGAAATTTGAAGCTTTTCATGCCTAGACGAAATATCGAACCTTGTTGAATTGGTTCAGTGTTATTCGTAGAACTTGGGTAATATAGTTTACCTTTGTTGGTAATGATATGTTATAGCTGCTTATTTTTGGAGATAAACTCTCATCCAACAGTACATGCTCTGTCTTTATATCATTTCCAACTATTCCTGCTGAATGCAGGTACTGAATTCCCTTGGTAATACTCATTATAATTGAAATTCTCTGTGGCCATTTCAATATTTCCCTCTTCCTCCAGTCTGCCAATGTGAAAGAACATTAATCAGCATGCTGGCAAAAATGCAAACTTTGTTTTTGGATTAACATTGTACTTTCTAAACTAGAGAAAGCAATATTAATGCAATCTTATGTTTACCGCTTAAATGATCTCTTAGTGATCCACTTGCAACGTTTTCTAGCACTAGGAAGACGGTGCTCGCTATGTTGGGATGGTCCTGGTGTGCGACAATACAATGTCCAAGAACGCTGACAAGGTGCCGATGTCTCAATCTTGATATGACTTCCATGTGCTGCTGCAAGTTCTGAGGTGAGTGCTTCTGCTTTAGTTTCATACATTTTACCAGGACCACTGTGCCATCTCCAAGCCAACCTCTGTAGAGCTATCAGAAACAGGAAATGACAAATTAGTACACCAATCGAGTTCAACTTCTCACATCATTAACAAGAAAAACCGACTAGTTTTCAGTTAATTAGGTTCTCTAATTACCTGAGCCTGAGAAACTTCTCCGACCAGATTAGCAAAATTTTGTGTAGCTTCTTCAATTTCTTCCAGTGTGAAAACCTGATACGGTGGAAGTCCCATTGACACCATCCTCATTGTCCGGGGCATATGCTCTTCGCAAAATTCAACAATCATTTCAAAATCACTGAATAAAACGAATTCAACCAGGTCCAGTCCAATAACACAGATTGATAGTACATAGATAGTCCTAATTAATGATGTGTAAACAGAAACCATTGTGATCCAAAAAACAAGGATTGATGTAGGTAAACAATCCTAATAATGTCTAGATGAAAACCAGTAAGTGGAAACATCTAAACTCCATAAATGATTATTGACTGTTATCATAAAAATATATCTCTAATGATTGGAGATAATGAAGACTGGAAATACTTACGTCCATCAACAAGTGGGGAGCCACGAGCAGCATTCTTTTCGAAAACAAAGCTCTCAGATTTGTATTCTTTAGCTTTCTTTCTCTCCATTCTCCTGTAGATGAGCAAGACCAACATCCCAAGTACACCAATGATTACCACAACGACGGCAATGACACCTAGCACAATACCAAGTTTGATGGTTGACTCCTCCTTCTTCTTCTTTGCAGTGGGCTGAACAGCTAATGCTTCCTTGTGACAGAAAGAATAAGGCCTTTGTGATTTTTCAGTTGAATTTGACAAGCAATTCCATGATGCGATAACTGTTCTGTTTTTAGAATTTGATCCAAGGCAAGACGGCAACTTTCCAATCAGCAGGTTATTGGATACATCTACAAATGTCAGGTTGTCTCGGCATGAAACAGTTGCAGGAAGTGCTCCACTTAATTGATTCTTGGCAAGATTGATGTACTGAATTGATGGCAGAGAGAACAGAAATGAAGGGATCGCTCCTTGCAGCTTGTTAGAGGAGATATCAAGTGAGTGCAGGCTAGAAAACTTTGCAAAATCCGGTGGGATCGCAGATCTCAATGACATGTTGTTAAGCTTGATACTCACGAGGTTGTTGCCCAAAGAAGGAAACTTAGGCCCTATGGGATTGTTACTCAAATCTATTTCCTTAAGTTGTGTCATTCTTCTCAGATCAGGAACAGTTTCATTGAACGCATTATCAGCCAAAACAAGACTAGTCAGGTTCTTGAAAGTGGTTATTGTTTTCGGGATGCTACCATAAATGAAGTTGGAACTGAGATTAAGCACCTCAAGTGAATCAAACCTATCAATGGTGGAAGGCAATGGACCCCAAATGCCTAAAGAAACCAATGACAACCTTTTCAGATTGGAAAGCTTGGTGATGACGGAGAAGAATGAATCTATGGAAAAACCCGGAGACAGAGTTCTCTGGGAAACATTTCCTGGTTTTGGATTGTGAGAAGGGCTGGTTTTGTTTCCGACAATGGTTAACTCGGTAACGTGATTATCTGAGCAGACAATAACAAGAGAAGGTGTGTGAGGAAGATAACAAAAGTTGGTCCAGTTGTTCCATCCTTGAAGAACCTCTGGATATTCGAGAATGCGTCGGATTTCATAAAGAATCCTTATTTCTGAAGGGGCTGCCTGCGCAGATGAAGAAGGAAGCAGCAACAGGAGGAAAAAGGGAAGCAAGAAGAAGCTGAACCAAATACCAAAGGGATCTTTCATTTTTTATTTTTATTTTTTTTCTGAAGGAAAGGAAAGCAGTAAGCTCAACTTCCACAAAAGCAATCAAGCAAAAACATCAGGACAGAGGTTGTAAGAAGAACTAGAAAGCAGAGCAAAAAGAAGAGAAAAAGGGATCCTGAGTACTTGTTAGCTAGCCGAGGTACGTATCAGTGTTTAAGTATTTGAAAGAAGGAATTGATTCTTACAGGAAACAATCAAGAACTAACGAGTTGGTACTAGCTAGTAGTTGGTTCATAAGAGAAAGATTCTGTGAGAAAGAGTCGGTGACGGTGAATAGGAAAAAAGAAAAAAAAATGTGGAGAGAAGGGAACTTTTTCAGGACATTGAATGAGGTAGATACATTTCCAAAAAAAAAGAAAAAAAAGGTAGATAAGGGGAGAGAGATGGAGTGAGTGAGATTGAAAGGGATGGAAGTTTTCCATGAGAATTAAGGTAAAGAAAGAAGCAATAATGAGGGCTTACTTTGGCAGTCTCTGCTGACTGAGATGATGAATTGATGATGATGTGTGTTGTAAGTGTATAATTAGCACAAAAATAAATGGAGGGAAGTCGGAATCAAGCATCAAAGATTGCTGGTCCTACGCTGTAGATGGGATGGGATAGTATTATTATAGTGCTCAAGCTCAAATGATAGGTTTAGGCAAATGGAAAAGCACATTGTTTCAGGGTTGTCATGCAAACAAAGTCAACATGCATGGCGCTGGATTCGATTCCAACACTAATAAAAAAATGAAATTTACTACTACTATATAATTATTAGTCTGATGTGTGTGTTTTGACCATTTATTATATTATTAGAAATGTGGAGGTCAGTCAGACTGGAAGAATTGATAAACTTCCTCTCCCCATTTCCGAAGTCCCCCAACCAACCCAATTTAGTGTCACACGCATAGGGCTGGCAATTCGTGTCGGGTTAGACCCGAACCCGTATAATTTATAGCCAACCCGGACCCGACTTGTATAAATATACAGGTTGAGTTTTACAATCCTAATTTGACTTGAAAATAATCAGGTCACTTGCGACCTGACCTGCTTAACCCGAAATTTAAGGGAAAAAAAATTCAGAAAATTCAGAAAGTTTAACCAAATCACAGATTACAAATCTTAAACTTCAAATTGTCAGATGGCAAATTACCACTTAAACTCCACATTACCAAATAATAACAACCTTGATCGGAATAACTAAATATCCAGCAATTAAACATTCAACATTCACAAATCTAAGACAATAAGCAAGAGAGGGAAGCTCGAGCTTCAATATCAGTAGAAACTTGAATCTTGAGATTTCCCTCATCAACTCCTTGAATCTCAGCTCCTAGAAACAGGCAGCAGTTGAGCTGCAAGCAAAAAAACAGCCTCGTCAACTCAAATGAAAAAGATTTCTGAAGTCTGAACTACTACGAGTAGGAGGCAAAGGCGCAAAGCTAACCAAAAATCTATCATTTTATCAACAAGAAAAATGCAGAAACATACATTGTCATCAGAGCAGAACACTTAACAGTTGAAAGCTCCAGAAAAATGTAAAAAAAAAATGAGCATTTAATTGCAGCAAGTTACAGAAAAATGCAGAAACTTGCAGAAAAATCAACATTCGTATGCAAAAAGTTGCAGAAAAAACACAAAAAGATGCATCATGATCAACATTGGGTTGCAGCTAAGTTGCAAAAAATGCAGAAAGTTGCAGAAAGATGCATTATTATATCAACATTCAGTTGCAGAGAAGTTGTAAAAAAATGTAGAAAAGTTGCAGGAAAATGCAAAAGAGTTGCAGAAATATGTAAAAAAAATGCATCATGATCGACATTCAGCAGAAAAATGCATTATGAATTTATGATCAGCATCCAAACTTCAAAATTCAATTCTAACTTGAATAACACAAGTCACTTCAGATTTCATATTTCATTAATCAAAAACCAATGATAACAAACTTACCAACATATTATCAAGTTGTATTAGAACTTCCTCCTTCAATCAATGGAACACCACTACCATTGTTGATATTCAAGTTCATTGTGTCTCTGGTCAACTCTTCTAAGTTTAATTCATCCAATTCTGTTTAGAGGGAAAAACATATGCAATAAATATTTTAAATTTACATATGAGATTAATAAACCAAAATGCAAACAGCAAACAATTCACCTTTGTGTCCAAATAACCAATCTCAAGAGCATATCAAGGCTTCGACAATATCCGGAGTCATTGAGCTATGGTATTGATCTAGAATTCTTCCTCCAAGGCTAAAAGCGGACTCGGATGCAACGGTTGATACGAAAACACAAAGTATGTCCCTAGCAAGATCAGGATACCGATATTGTTGGGATCTCCAAAAATCAAGTACATTGATTTTGTCGGTCCTGTTATGCTTTGAGTCAGCTAAATACATCTCTAGCTGAGTTTGTTTGCCACTTGAATCAAACTCAGCACTCCCAAATTCATCAAATTCTTGTAAACAGTAATCAGTGCATAAAATCAGAATAAATCAGAAATAAAATAAAAATTAGATTATGACATTAGAATAGAAAAACATATAATACACTTACTTACCATCATTAAAGTTGAAGTATGACTCCCTTCAGTTTCTCTTCGATGCTCATTATTACTACCAGAAGAACAAGATGATGATGCCTACATCCAATTGTCACAACTGGTTAGTAAGACATATAACAGCTGACCCAAACTAAAATTAAACCCCTCCCCCAAAAAAGAAGAAGAAAATAATAATGAAAAAAAAGGGGACTGACCTGATTAGATGGTGAAGCTAGCAAGTACTCATCATAAAGAGCAAAGAGGGCAGCCTTAAAATCAGACAACTGTTGCGAAGATGGGCCATAAAACTTCTCGTAACAGAATTCTACGAATCGAAACTTGTACCAAGGATCAAACACCGTCGCAAGTGACAATAAGAGATTAAAATTAGACCAATATTTGTCGAACTTATCAACCATATTCTTAGCTATTCTTTCCAGGTATGAATCACTGATTGAGATTGCCTCTTGCAACTTTTGCTGAATTGGAAATACCTTTGGAAGATACATATTTGCTGTGGAATAAAGAGTTCCAGAGAAGGTATTTGTAGCATCATAAAAAGATTCCAGAAATCCACATATCTTTTCAACCCTTTCCCATTCATCCAAAGTAAGACAACACTTAAAATTCATATCAGCCCACTGAAGATGCTCAAAAGTCTTATGATAGTAGAGAGCACTTGAAAGCATCTTATAGGTCGAATTCCACCTAGTAGGCACATCTTGCTTTAAACCTCTCTTAGAATCCAAAGAGATTTGTGCAATAGACAGCTCAAACTTTTGCTTTCTAGAACTTGAACCCTTAACAAATTTGACATATTCCCTTATTTTGATCACAGACTCATCAATTTCTTTCAAGCCATCTTGAACTACCAAATTAAGGATATAGGGTGAGCATCTTACATGAAACAGTTCACCTTTATACACCAAAGCATTATTAAGCATCAATTGTTTTTTCAGAATATCAACACAAGCATCATTAGCCGATGCATTGTCCAAAGTAATTGGAAACAACTTTTTTTCAATACCCCAACTACAAACCAAAGAATAGATCTTTTCACTCAATGCTTGTCCCGTATGTGGAGGTGGCATGCAAGAAAAATTCAGTATTCTCTTTTACAATTTCCAATTAGCATCAATAAAGTGAGCAGTTAAACTCAAATAACCATCAGTAACAATGGAAGTCCAAGCATCCGATGTCAAGGCTATTTTACTAGGACAAGCAATTAATTCAACACGAAGTCTATCACATTCTTTGGCATACATCTTCCTAATATCAGATTTTACAGTGTTTCGAGTAAATTCAACACTTTTGGCTCTAGATACTTAAAAATATTCCAAATTCCTTCATACTCCACAAAAGAAAAGGGCATGTCATGTCTAATCATTGCATGAACAACTAGCTCTCTAAACTTTTCTTGAGAAAATGTGGATTCCTAATTCCTAAACAGGTAGCATCCTTATCAGAGACAATCAGAAACTGTCCAATATCAGTGGTAGTCATCTTCACACAACTTTTAATATGGCGAAGTAAATTACTTGTGCCATCCTCACTTCCAGCCAAGTATTTCTTACCACATTTTTTACATTCACAACAAAACTTTTCATTTAGTTTCTGGGACAGAATTCGAAAATGATGCCAAACTGAAGATGTTAACCTTCTTTTCTTTCGCACCCCTTTGTTTGCAGGAGATGCTTTATCACCTTCTTGTGTGTCAGTTGTGTCCGTTCCACCATTGATTGAAACATCAACATCATCAGCAGCATCGGTCTCACTGCCGTTAACCTCAAAACCGATATCAAATTCAGCTTCTTCGTCAATTGGTTCCATTCCTATAAAACCAGAGACAAACAGACAAAAAATTTCAGTAATCGACCCAACAAAGAAAATCAACTAAAGATTAACTAAATCAACTAAAGATTAATATGCAGGGCTAAACTAAATCTTAGTTCTATCCCTTAAAAGTTAAAAGCTTCAAACCGGGCTCACTATATCAAATACAAATTCGATCCACAGTTAAGCTTTCCTTCTTTTCTTAAAATTTACAAATAAAACTCCAACCGATAAGGTGACTTTGGAGAGAATGATAGAAAAAAGAGGAGAACAAGAAGAAAAAGAAGAAGAAAGAAGAAGGAGGAGGTTGAGACATACCTGATTCAGTGACCTTGAGGAGCTGAATTGAAACAACAGCGAACTACCGTTGATGCGAAGTTGATGATTGATGATAGGGAACACCGTGAAGATGGCGCGAAGAAGAAGGAGGAGGAGGAGACCGCCGTGAAGATGATGATTGATGAGCGGGGATTGGGAACACCAATTTGTGATAGACAGCGGGAGAGGTTTCAAGGTTAAAGTGGAGGGGAATCAGAGTGGGGGGGAATCGGTGGAAGTTGGGGGAGCTGAACTACGGCTAGGGATTGGAGTTGCAGAAAATCGGAGCTGCCGCCGCCGGAGGACCGAAACCCTAAAGGTAAAGGGAGATGGAAAATTTGTGTTGGATGATGAATAAAGAGTATTTATATGAGCTGAAATTAGGGTTGGGATACCAGTGAAATTTCCAAATTATCCCTACAGTATTACAAAATTTACATATTCGCAAGTAACCCGGGTAACCCACCGGGTTGATCCTAACCCGACCCGTATATTAAATGGGTCTAAATTTCTAACCCTAACCCGACCTATTTAATATGCGTGTCGTGTGTGTCGGGTTCGTATCTAAATTCTGAGTCGTGTCAGTGATTGCCAGCCCTACACACGCACATGCAATATTTGAATGCAAATAGTTTTCCAGCTTTCTTTGCTGCTATTATATTGTTTTCATCTTCACCGAGGGTTTTGAAGTTGTGGTACTCTATATTTTAACCTAACATCATGATGCATCCAGATTCCAGGCATTTAATTGGGGGAAGGGTACTGTACTGAGTCTGTTTCATTGTGGGGACCATATATTAATGTGCTTAAACAACAAATCTGTATACAAGAGTTACTAGCTACACTTTAATTTGATTCCTCCGACAAAATTTAAGGAGTGATCGATTTTTATTTTATTTTATTTTTAAGAAAGAGAATCGGGAGCATTTACATAGTTTATTATACCTTCAATCGAATAATTAATGGGTGGGGGACGGCAATAAACATCAATTATATGTTTTTTTTTTTCGCACATTCTTATGCATAGTATTAATAACA